AACCTATGCCAAGACACCTTCTATTGAGACTTCAGAAAATTAAAGACAAAGACAAAAATCTTGAAAGTGGCAAGAAAGAAACAACATCTTGGCCAGGCGCCATGGCTCATGCCTGTACTCCCAGCACTTTGGGAGGCCGAGGCGGGCAGATCACTTGAGGTCAGGAGTTCAAGACCAGCCTGGCCAACATGGCAAAACCCCGTCTCTACTAAAAATACAAAAATTAACCAGGTGTGATGGCCCATGCCTATAATCCAAGCTACTACGGAGGCTGAGGCAAAAGAATCATTTGAACCTGAGAGGCAGAGGTTGCAGTGAGCCAAGATCGTACCACTGCAATCCAGCCTGGGTGACAGAGAGAGACTCCACCTCAAAATAAATAAATAAATAAATAAAAATAAACAGGCTGGGCGCGGTGGCTCATGCCTGTAATCCCAACACTTTGGGAGGCCGAGGCGGGCAGATGACACAAGGTCAGGAGATCGAGACCAACCTGGCTAATACGGTGAAACCCCATCTCTACTAAAAATACAAAAAATTAGCCGGGTGTGGTGTCACGTGCCTGTAGTCCCAGCTACTCGGGAGGCTGAGAGAATCACTTCAACCCAGGAGGCAGAAGTTGCAGTGAGCCGAGATCACACCACTGCACTCCAGCCTGGGTGACAGAGTGAGAAGAAAAAAGAAACAGCATCTTACCTTTAAGGCAAAACCATTTTAATGACAGCAGATTTCTCACTGAAACCATGGAGACCAAAAGGAAGTGGCACAGCACTTTTCAAGAGCTGAAAGAAAAGAACTCTCAGCCCAGAATCTTACATCCAGTGAAAATATCCTTCAAAAATCAAGAGGAAATCAAGACATCTTCAGAAGAAGAAAAAAAAAAAAAACAGAGACTTTGTCACCAGCAGACCTACCCAAAAGAAATGATTAAAGGAAGTTTGCCAAACAAATAAAATGACAAAAGAAGGAATCTCAAAGTGCAAGGAAGGAAGAACACAGTCAACAAAATATACATAGATACAATAGACCTTATCTCTTGAGTTTTCTAAATTATGCTTGACAATTGGAGTAAAAATTATAACACTGAATGATGTGATTGCCAATGTATGTAGAGGAAATATTAAAGAGAATTATATTATAAAGGGGGAGAGAATAGGGAACATGAAGGACTTAGGTTTATCCACTTCACCACAACTAATAAAATGTCAACATCAGTTAACTGTGATAAGTTATAAATGTATAATCTAATACCTGGAATGACCACTAAGAAATGTGCACAAAGAGATGCTCTCAAATGCACTATATACAAACCAAAATAGAATTTGGCAGGCCTGTGTTCAGAGCTGAGACAGAACCCAGTGAGGTGTCAGAGTGGGTCATAAGCCTAGGGCTGGCCTGTCCACCCAGTTTCAGCCAAGGGTTGTGGAGAGGGAGGGCGCTGTGCAGGCTGGGAAAAGGGGGAGACAAAAGAGGCATCTTCCTTTAAAAATGCAGGGAGGCACTCACTGCCAGGCCTGTGGGTGGCCTCTAAGAGGCTGAGTCTCTTGGAGGAGAGGCAGCCAGTTCTAGGCAGTGTGGCAGGCCAGGGGCAAACTGGAACTGGAACTTGGGGAACTGATTCTGAGGTCACCCTCTCAGGGGGTAGGAGTTTGCATGTCCCTAGTTGAATACAGAGACCCAGCCAGGGGCAGGGTCTAGCCTTTAGGTCACTGTGAGGAATTGAATGGGGAAACTGAGGCTGGAGCACAAAGCAACTGCACAGTGGTGGTGGGTGTAGCGGAGATGCAGTAGCTTTGTGGCCCTGGGTGAAAGGACCTCCAAAGTCACACCAGACACGGGGCTGAAGGACAATGGGGCAGATCACAATTCCAGAGGCGGCCACAGAGCACCTCCCATCCCACAGACTCTTTTGCAATGTGACTGTCTTAGTCCATTTTGTGTTGCTATGAAACAGTACCTGAGGATGGATCATTGATAAAGAAAAGAGGGTCCTTTAGCTGGCCATTGTGCAGACTAGGAAGTTCGAGGGCATGGCCCTGGCTTCTGTTGAGGGCTTTCATGCTGCTTCATAACATGGCGAGGGTCAAAGGGAAAGTGGGCAAGTGTGAAGGGAGATAAACTGAGAGGTGTCTGGCTTTATAACAACCCACTCTCGAGAGAACTAACTTATTCCCATTAGAATTCATCCAGCCTCATCAGAGTGAGAACTTGCTCACGACCTAGAACAGCACCAACCACTTATGAGGGAAATGAATACCCCCCACTAGGCCCCACCTCCCACCACAACCACACTGGAGATCCCATTTCAACATGAGCTTTGGGGACAAACAGACCTCAGCATTGACCTTGTCTTATCCCTGCCAAAGGGTGGCCTCTAACTTCCCCGCCCACATGCCCCTAGCCTTGAACCTGACCTGGCCTTGGTGATTTATTTTGCATTGGCAAAACATTGTAGGAATGAGGTCAGAAGAATGAGGTCCCTAGGAACACTGGTCCTCAGGATGCTTCTCCAGAGCCCAGCCTGCCATGCTGTGAGGAGGGGCGAGCCACCCAGAGAGGCTATGTCAGCTTTCACTCAAGCCCCGGAGCTAGGCTTGGTGTGAGGAAGCTTCTAGGTCCCTCCAGCCCCCAGTAGCCTGAGTCACCAGGGTTACACCCAGCCTTCAGTCTCCCCAGCTTTCTGGGACATGCGGAGCAGAGGGGAAGCACCCTGATGCACTCTGGCTGAATTCCTGACCCACAGACTTGGAGAGCAGGAGAAAACGGCTGCTGTTTTAGGCCTCTAGGCTTGGAGTGGTTTGTCACCCAGGCACCTAGAACAGAGCTCCCCTCCTGTTCACCCCACTCCCACCTGGGCCAAAAGACTTCCCTATTCTTTTTTTTTTTTTGAGACAAAGTCTCACTCCGTCGCCCAGGCTGGAGTGCAGTGGCGCGATCTCGGCTCACTGCAACCTCCGCCTCCCGGGTTCAAGTGATTCTTGTGCTTCAGCCTCCTGAGTAGCTAAGGCTCCCCTACGTTTAAGTGGGCAGGGGGCTGGAGGGGTTGGAGGCCCAGGACAGAGGAGGCAGTTTGTCTGCCTCAGCACCAGGCCTGCAGGATCTGGGAAAAAGACTCGGGCTCAAGGTCCCTCCGCCCCAACTGACTGCCACCTGGGCCAGTGTCCTCCCCTCCTGGGCCCCCCGTACCTTCATCTGTCACACAGGGATGATGAGGCAGAGAACATGCCCAGCACACACTTGAGGCCACTGTGCACAAACTGGCTCCTGCTTTTCTTTATGTAGCTGCTATCAGGCTTGTACTGCCTGGTCTGTAGACAGCCCGCAGGGGCACCTCAGAAGAGGTAGGGCCGTGCACTTTCTAAGCCTCGACTTTCTGCTTCTCCAAGTGAGAGAAGCACTGTGTGGGGTGTCTGATGCCAATCCCTCTGTGTCTCACCTTCTCCCTTGCCCTTGAATTGTCTTCCTCCCCCATCACCTGACAACACTACTCTGACCTGGCTGGACCCCAGCTTCCTTTCTTGCCCCGGCAACCCTCTCTCCCAAAGACACCACCGAGACTTTAGAACTTCACAGCTGACCTCACTGCATCTGCCCAGCACTCTTCACATGCCACGGTCAAGGTCGCCTGTGACCTGGCCTGGCTGCCTCTCTCCCCGTCTCCTGATCCCCGCCCTGTGAAGCCTTGCCCTGCTCAAACGCCAGACAAAATCGACGGACAGTGGAGAATCCTGGCAGATGCCACCTCCACCGGTGATGGAGGTGAAGGGCCCTGGAAAGCAGTGGTGCTGGTGCATGAACCCCCATGTGGTGTGATGAGGGGCACCTCCTCTCTGTGGTCCTGCTCCGCAGGATGCCAGTGCCATCACAAGGAAGCATCAGAAAAGCCCCAGGGAAGGCCCATCCTGTGGACTAACTGGACAGTGCCCTTCCAGAGTGACCAGGTCACAAAAGATGAGGAAAGGCTGGAGGGGACCGAGGAGACGAGATGACCACACACGAAATAGATCCTGGATTATTTCCTGAAACAGTAAAAGATCATCAGTGGAAATGCTGGAGACATCTGAACTCTAGTTCACGGTGGCATAGCAACAGTTATTCCTTAGTTCTGACAGTTGTACCCCGGTTACGTGATGTGTTAACATACAGGACAGGAATTCTCTGCACCACCTTTCAGTTCTTCAGTAAATCTAAAATTATTTCAAAATAAAAGGTTTAAAAACCCTAGTTGCTTAAAAATTCCTATTGTGTCTCTCACCGTAACTGTATGCATAATCATTGTAATAACTCAAATCAGCAGAGACGCACAATGGTGACAGTGCCAGCCTCCCTTCAAGGAGAAGCTGGCGTAACGCATGTGCCTCCAGGTCCCATGCATGTGTTAACACATATCATAACTCGATTTTGTTTTTCTCATAAATGGGATATAAAGCACACTGTGTCCTGCCACTTGCTTTTTCTCCTGTTACTCCCCACGGGGCATCTTCCAGGTGGGACCTGTGTTCATGGCCGTGGATGTAAACCACATCTCAAGCAGGCTTCTGGGTGAGCTGTAATTTCTGTGTCCGACTCCTCATCAGGGCCGATTCCACAGACGCTGTATTTACCTAGTACTGTGCCCCATGAGTGGCTCGTTCCAGGAGTGAAGAAAAGTGCCGAGTTACCATTTCTTGTTCTTTTTTTTTTTTTTTTTTTTTTTTTTTTTTTTTTTTTTGAGACGGAGTCTTGCTCTGCCGCCCAGGCTGGAGTGCGGTGGCCGGATCTCAGCTCACTGCAAGCTCCACCTCCCGGGTTCCCGCCATTCTCCTGCCTCAGCCTCCCGAGTAGCTGGGACTACAGGCGCCGCCACCACGCCCGGCTAGTTTTTTGTATTTTTTTTAGTAGAGACAGGGTTTCACCGTGTTAGCCAGGATGGTCTCGATCTCCTGACCTCGTGATCCGCCCGTCTCGGCCTCCCAAAGTGCTGGGATTACAGGCTTGAGCCACCGCGCCCGGCCTACCATTTCTTGTTCTAAGCTCTTGCTTCCATTATCTTCAAAACACATTTCCTTCGCATGAGACTTCTTAAGCCACTTGCTCATTTTGTTAGGGTTAGTTTAATTAAAACCAGAGACTATAATCCACAAATCCACTTAACCAGGAAATTCACTGAAACAGAATAGACCTGTGTGGGCCCCTCTATGCTTCAAGGCTCCCCTTGCTGCGAGAGGACGCGGCTGTCCCAGCACTAGGGCTTCCAGAGGGCCTCCGGAGGGCGGTGCTGTCTTTACAGTATGCATTAATCAAGTTGATTTCTTTCTTGTTGTGGAGTAACATGTGTACAAACTAGAAGTTCTAATATTTTCTTCTCACACCCTGTGGTATGCATAGAAGTTTCAGCATATTTTTTGCAGCATATTCACCAGTGTCTTGGCCTGCATGGAGGGTTGGTGCTCCATTTTGGGGACCCCTGGGCCAGGTCCTCTGCCATCCTTCACAAGGCTAACTTGTCCTCCAGGCTCTGGAGACTCGCCTACCCCCAAGGAAGAGAGGCAGAGAACATGCACAGCACACACTCAAGCCTGACTCCCCAGCTGCATTAGGACCCCCTGATGCTCTGGTCACAGCCACCTTCCTCCCTTTGGTCGAACATGATGCTGACCTTACCAGTGGGTGCAAGCGACCCCCTGAAGCCTCTGAGGGCAAGCTCCTGCTCTCTGTGCTCACGCTGCCCAAACAGGCAAGTGCTGGAGGTCCTGAGGATGCACAGGGGAGGAAGGAATGGGAGAAGAGTTTGGATCTGCTCTGAACACGGGAGAAGACCTGCTCCTCTCTCTTGCCACAGCCCACCATGCCCCAGAACACAGCTGTGCCTGCTGTGCATCTCACACCTGCCCCTCTTGTCTTCCCCACACTCAGCCACCTGTCAGAAGCTGTGGCCCCTGCTTCCCAGCTTCCCCTCTAGACACCCCTGAACCCCCAGGACTCACGGCACATCCCTACTTAGATGCTGTCCATTGTTCCCCCATTGCATTTAAAGGCTACTCCTGCCCAGGCATGACGTACACTGTTGGCCCTGGCTAGCTGCTCCCCCACCACCCTGCACTGGGCCTCCTCACCCTTTTTGTCCTTGGAACCTTGGCACAGGCTTGGGATGCTCCCCAGCTCTACACAGCCACTCTGCTCCATGTCCCCTGGAACCTAGGCAGGGCCTCCTGCTGTGAGCCTCATGTGTTTCTCTTCTCTTTAAAGGCCGCAGTGTGCCCACACACCCAGTGGGTATTTGCTAAAGGCATGCACACATGAGCAAAGGGAAGGAGAGAGGATCAGCACGCCCCACCCCAGGAGGTGAGGCAGTGGGCAAGGCCCCAGGCTCTGGGCTGAAGGCGGCTACTGCAATCCTAGCTGACACCAAGGTCCAGGTGGGGTGGGGGTGAACAGCATACCTGGTTGGGCACAAGGGTGTTGACAGGGCTGGAAGCCACTGTCCCTGTGTCTCCTGCTTTCCTTCCCTGGGAGGTCCCTTGGGCATCTCAGCCTAGTGAGGCACTTTCCTCCCTCCGAGGGCTGGCATGTGACAAAGAGAGGGTGGCGTTGGGCGGCACCTGTGCCTGCGTCTGTGTGAATCAGATCTGCTGCCTGTTGTTGTGAGCTTTGTGTCTGCCTGGATTGGTGCGGGGGTGTGTGTGTTTGTGTACCAGCGTGTGATTGTTTTGGTTTGCTGTGATGAGTGTGGGTGTGTTTCTGTGGGGGCCATGAGTGCTCTGTGGGGGTGTCTGCTGTGGGAGTGGGTCCGTGTCCCCATGTGCCTGCGGAGCTGTGTGTAGGCATCTGTGTGCTCCATGAGCCTGCATGTTCCAGCTCCCCCCACCACAGGCCCGCCAGACCCTGCCCAGTTCCCCACTCTTCGCTCTCCGCAGTTCCCATCACCTAGCAACAGACAGAATCAGAGCAGTGGCCTCTGCAGACAAAGAAGGTGTCTCTAGGAGGGAAGAGCTGGGAGGTGGGAAGTGGGGGAGGGGCCCCAGACCAGGCTCAGAGCAGATCCTTGCTCCTGGCCTCCACCGCAGAAGGTGGCTCACCCCTCCGCATGGAACAGGTCTCTCTCCATCCTCTCCACCCTGGCCTTCCTCCTCCTTGCAGGCCCCAGAAGCTGGAGAGGGCTGGTCGGGGTTGGGCTCACACAGTGGTGGAGCTCACAGAAGCTGACCCCACCCAACAGGAGCCCAGGGTGGGCCTCAGCCTGGTGGGAGTGATGAGACGGAGGCATGGGATGGACTATGGGGGCACGGAGGCCTGACCCTGAGTGCACTCAGGCGAGGGTGGGGGACACTCAGATCTGCCCCTCCTGCAGGAACCTGGTTTCCCCACCCTGGAGGCCAGTGCCCAAGGGCGTTCCTGTGCAGCTGTGGGTGAAGGGTGGGCTATCCTGAGGGTTGGGAAGGGAACAGGCCCAGGTGCCTCCTCTGGCCCTCAACGCCCTGGAACCTGGCCTTTCCTGGGACTCCAGTCTCCCCGGCACACCCCTGCTCTGTCCCCACACTCCAGCCATGCCGGTCAATGAGCCAGACTCTCTTGGTGTCTTTGCACCACCCTCCCCTGCCCAGCACACCCTTCCTCCAGGTTGCCATGGGGCTCACGCCATCGTTCCTGTGGTCGTGCAGTTGCCACCACTTGGGCGAAGCTGGTCCTGGCCACTGTATGGCAGCTTTCCTCCCCACCCACTCTGTCCCACACCTCTGCGTTATCTCGCCTGAGGCACTTAGCTTGCTCTAAGATGGTCCTACTTACTGCCTGATTGTCTATCCTCTGACTCACCCATGATCTAATAATAAGCTCCATGATCTAATAATAACCAGATTCATTTAGCACTTACTATGTGCCAGGCACCGTTCTAAGCCCTTGATGTCTTCTAACTCATTTTACCCTTGCAGCAACCATACAATTTAAGAGCTACTGTCTCCAGTTAACACTTGGGGACACTGAGGCAAAGAGCGTGGCTGAATATTGTGCCCATGATGACAGAGGGACAGCCTATTTTGTTTGCTGCTGTATCCTTAGCATCTGGCACAGAGAAGGGGTCCTGGTACATTTCTAGAAAGAATGGAGGGGAGCAGAGTCTCCCCCAGCACCTAGGATTTGGTGCCTCCCTGCCCAGAGCCCTTGCTATAGCATATGCTGGTGAGGGCTGAAGCTCTAGCTCACACACCAGACTAGGGTAGGGATCCAATCTGGCTTTGAGGACATCATGCGGAGCCTCTGCTCTGGAGATGGGAACCTGCAGACAAAAGCCTCCTTATCTCAATCCTCTGAAAACAGTTTGACCGGGGAGACAGTGTTCATTCATGAATTTAAGAAAAAAAAATCCCTGATCCCTACTTTTTGCCAACTTCAATGCTGATTTCTAGTGGTACCAAGAACAATGCAACTGAGCCTCCATCCTCAAGGGGCTCACAGTCTTGTGGGGAGATAGAAAGTTAGTGGTCATTCAGATTGCGGTGAAATCTCCCAATGACTGTCTTCTATTCACATTTATTGGTGTCCTGGAGCGGAGCTGCTGGGGAGGGGGTATGGGGAGTGGCAGGAGGTGAGATTGGACAGGGAGGGACATCTCTGAGTTCCCGGCCAGAGAACTAGAGGGCAAACAGAGGCCACTCATGGTCCCACGCAAGAGGAGTGACGCGATCACCTTTGTGCTTTCTAGCTGGCTCCCGTGCAGGTGCAGGTGCACACACGCACACACGCCGTGTTAGATCAGTGGGGCTAGGTGCCACCCTACGAGGCCCCCAGTGGAAAAAAGGGCAGGGAGACAGGGGCTTATACAACCATTGGAAGGGTTGGAACATCAAAAGTTGGGACTTGGGGTTTACTGCCAGCCTTCAGGGAAGTAGGATGTTACTGTTGCCTCCCAGGTCGGGAAACTGCTGAAAATTGCTGAAGATGTTCAAGGCTTTCTCTTATTGTTGCACTCAATAAATATTTATAGAATGAATGAGTCAGTGTTCACAGACTCTCATATATATTTACATCACATGGAACTAGTTTTCCCCCAATTTAAAAATTATTTATTAGAAAGGTGAATAAAATTATAAATAAAAACAATACCTTCACCATTAACTTTAAAACCTTCTAAATACAATTCTTTGTACTCTCTTGATCATTATTCTTATGAATACATAGGGATGCAATCAAAATAAAGAATATAATTTTACATCTTAACCGAAATAACCACAGATTTACAGGAAGTTGCAAAGATAATATAAAGAAGTCCTTTGTAGTCTTAATCCAGTTTCCCCCAATGGTAACATCTTATGTAGCTATTCAATACTGAAACCAGGACGTTGACATTGATACAACATGCATGTTGAATTCTGTCACTTTATCATGTGTGTAGATGCAGGCCTGCTGCAGATCCGAGTTCTGTGACCGGGGTCCTGTCCGATGGTCCTGCTTCCCCAGGCATCCCAGAAGTAGAGCCTCCATCTCCACCAGAGACTGAGAGCAGACACCTGCCGGTTTATCTGTCCCTTCATGTAGCAGGTGACAGAGGTGCCAGGGGCATGGCAGGGGTACTCTGACACAGCACTGCCCCATGGAGCCCATGTCCTAGGGCAGAAGACCCAAGACACACAGCCAGCCAGGTGAGAGAAGAAATGTCAGGTACAAAGCACAACGAAGAAGAAAGCCGCTATGAAGGTGGCCCTGTCGCAGGCTAGGGTTGGGAAGAGACCCTGAGATGGAGGTGAACGTGCAGGACGTTACTCAAGGAGGGCTCTTGGGTTGACACTGTGGACAGAAAGGGCAAGAGGAGACAGGGCTGGCGGGGAGCTGCGATCAGCTGCAACAGAAGCCCCAGCAACGCAGGCGGAGGTTCTGAAGATTGATGGCCTTCCAGAGGGCCCCAGGGGAGCTGCTCTGGTTACTCATACGGAGGGGCGTGACCTGAGTTGAGGCAGCTCTCTGCAGCTGGGCATGCTGGATCCCAGCGGGTGGGGTGGTTGGGGGGGTTCCAAGCAGCCCCCACAGATGCTGTCCTAATTAGGAAGGCTTCTGTGATGCCTCATCTTGTGCATCAACTTGGCCAGGCCACGCTGCCCAGTTTCTGGTCAAACACCGGTCTAGACATTTCCACGAATGTATTTTTTAGATGGAAAAAATATTTAAGTCAATGGACCTTGAATAAAGCAGATTACCCTCCATCATGTAGGTGGCCTCATCCGATCAGTCAGAGGCCTCAATAGAACCAAGACTGATCTCTGCCAAAGAGAGAATTCTTTCAGCAGACGGCCTTCGGACTTGAGCTACAACGGCCACTCTTCCCCGGGCCTACTTGACAGACTTTGGGTTTCTCAGCCTCCACAGTCGTGTGAGCCAATTCCGTAAGATAAATATCTCTCTCTCTCTCTCTCTCTGTCTGTCTGTCCCTCTCTCTCTCTCCGGGAAAGAACCTCAGGGTAGCTGGGAGCTTGGTATGTTACAGGACAGCAGGGAGGCCAGAGCCGCGGTCAGTGTGAGGGGGTCGGAGTGCAGTGGGGCCTTCTGTGCGTGTGCGGCCTCATAAGGTGGCATAGACGTGCACTTGTTCTGTGTGGCCAGGATTTGGGTGGGGGTGATGCTTCCTCTGTTCCCTGGGTAGAGACTCAATGGCTGGCGGCCTGGGGAAGGCAAGGAGGCCATGAGGGGGCTGCTGCTTTGATCCAGGTGAGAGGTGACGCCACTATAGGGCAGCTGGTGGCATGCATAATTCAAAACAAGCATATTGACCAGATGCAGTGGCTCATAGCTGTGTTCCCAGCCCTTTGGGAGGCCAAGGCGGGAGGATTGCTTTAGCCCAGGAGTTTGAGACCAGTCTGGGCAACATAGGGAGACCCTGTCTCTACAAAAAGTTTAAAAAAAAATTAGCCAGTATAGTGGTGTGCACCTGTGGTCCCAGCTACTTGGGAGGCTGAGGTGGGAGGATCACTTACGCCCAGAAGTTGGAGGCTGCAGAGTCATGCTCACACCACCGCATTCCAACCTGGGCAACAGAGTGAGACCCCATCTCAATAAACAAAAAACAGGTGTATTTTGCAGGCAGCATCTGAAGGCCCAGCTGCTGGCTTGGCTGTGAGCTTTGAGGAAATGAGCACAGTCAAGATGGAAGTACAGATGTGGGCAGGCCCTGTTCCAGGCTCCAGATGTTTTCATCCTAGCACTGGTAAGGATGAGCTCATTTGTTGAAGGGGGAAGTTATGCGCTTCAGGAGGGCAAGGGAATGGGGCATTGTTTAATCCTGCCTTATCCCTGAGCCCCCACAACTAGAGAAAATGTGTAACAACAGTGGAAAGGCTGCCTTCCTTCCATGCCTGTGGCCACTAGGTGCTCTCACCCCTGCTGCAGGCTAAGGGCATGGCCGCCCCCTGCCCAGGCAGCCTTCAAGGAATTCCGTGCCGAGCCCAGAGCCAGAGCAAGAGCTGGCTCTGCCTGGAGGAGCTCATGCGAGTTGAGGAGATAAGGCACAAAATAATTAGTGAGCAGAGTGTATAATTAAGTGCTAAATTGTGTGTTTCAGACTCACTGAGCTGTGGGAGTGTGAGGTGGGGGAGTCACACCAGGTTGGAGTGGCTGGGTGAGGCAGCTTCTGCAGGTTGGGGGCATGACTAAGCGGGGGCAGCCCAGAGAAGGAACAAGGTTCCAGGTGGGGGCAAGGCAATGGGGCAAGGGGTGGCAGGAGCACAGTGAGGTGCAGAGAAAGGGAAGAGAGCAGCCATCAGAGCGATAGGGTCTGCAGGTTGGGGCCCCAAGACTGCACTGGGTAAGCAGTGGATCCCAGCACCCTGTGACATGCTGGGCCTCAGGTGCCACATCTGTGAAATAGGGATGCTGAATGTATTTAGTGGGAAAGTCCGTGTATGGGTCCAGCCCAGGGTCTGGTACATGGGGACACCCAAGCAGACAAACAGGCAGGCACATATAGACAGGGGACGGGCAGACAGATGGGAGGAGCCAGGTGGTCGGACAGATGTTCAGACATAGATGGGCCAGACAGACAAGGAAGATAAATTCAAACAGACAGCTGGATTCCTGTGTCCCAGCTCCTGGCCCTTCCACAGCCCTGACCACAGCAGGTCCTACCCACCCTCACCCTCTGAGAAGCGGGAAGCCTGGGGCTACCAGGTGGCCCCGAGCCTGAGGGCCCTGCATGGCAGGGTGTCCTTGCTGCGGCATTCAGGACCTGGGATTCTGGGAGAGTTGGGCTGACTTTAGGGTTTGGGGACCAGGGCCCAAAAGTTCAAAAGGGCCCAAGCAAATGGAAGGCAGGGCTGAGCATGGGTGGCCCTGGGCTGGAAGGAAACCAGGAGGCAGAACCGTGAGGGACACGTGCAGCCTGGCCAGGCCAGGCCCCAGGCAGTCAGGACAGACACAGAAGAAGGGGCATCATGTCGCTAGCATGGCAAAGGATCCCAGCAGCACAGGAGGCTTCCCCTTGGCAGCGCTGTGTTTGCAGCCTGGCTTAGTGTGCCGCCGCCTGTTAAACAAATATTGTGACAGGCCCACTCCGTGGACTCAGGGACGGTGATGGCACTGGCTGTCACCAAGGGCGGCCAGTAATGCGGGCACTCTGTACCACGCAACCTCTCCTTCCAACGCAGAGCAAGCCTGCTGCCTAAACAAGCACAGGGCTTGGCCACCACCAAACACACCCAGAGGAGACACGGGAGTGGGGCCCAGCCTGAGTCCAGCACTCCTGCCCCACACACACAGGCAGGAGGAGGCAGCCCCTCAGGCCCCTCTGCCCCACCTGGCACGGACACCTCCAGCCAGCAAACACCAAGCATCTATCATGTGTGGAGCAC